ATACTTCAGGCTTATAGAAAAGTTGCAAATAATGTATAAGGAACTCCCTACCTTTTGCTCGGATTCACTACTTTTTTACGTTTGGGCCCATTTACTTTATCATTCTCTCTCTGTGTCTCTCTGTCTGTCTCTGTCATCCTTCTGTCCATGCATGTCTATCTATCTATCATGCGTCTATCTTATCATCTATGCACGTTTTTTCCTGAACCATTGGAGACATTGAACCTCTTCACCCCTAACTACATCAGTATGAATTTCCTAAGAATGCACACTTTCTCTTACATAATCACAGTACAATTATATTTTTCCCAGTCTAGGATCATCATAGCACATCCTTTAACTGTTGGAGGAAAGAAGGAACAAATATTTATTTATAGGAGCCTGCTGGATGCCACCTGTAGCGCCAAGGCACTTTACATACGTTGTGGCATTTTTGTCTCCTAAACCATCCTGTGGAATCAATTTTTATTTTCCCTGTTCTATAGACAAGCAGACTCAGTCCTGGAGAAATTCAGTAACGTGCCTACAGTTAGTCACTGGGGAGCAGACACAGATCCTGGTCTGTCTGTTGCTTCTGCTGCCCTGGCCCTGGTGCCTGGAGACTATAAGGCACACACTTGGTGTGGGTCTGTCCTCAGAGAGGGAGTAGGCCTGCATGTCTTGAGTTCATCTCCATACATCATCTCAGCTCTTCCAGGCACTGTGGGCGCACAGTCATTCAGGGAGCTGCAGAGCTCATCACAAGGTACTCACTGCTTGAGCTTATCTTCAGCCCTGTAAAGATGAGACCACCACCAGCATAGACAGGCATGTCTGAAAGATGAACATGCTTGTGACCATATGCACGCTGAAATAGCTGATGGCGTAGAGAGGGAGACAAACATTCCATTCACTGGGACAGGGAGTGGGAAAGACGGGTTTCCTGTTTATGCCCAACACAGTTGGGGAAAGTTATCATTATCCTGGATCTTAGGGTTTAGCTTGGCAAGGCTTCTGGGAGGAGTGGAATTTTACAACTTAGAGCCGCTTAAGCATGGATATTTCACATCTGGAAAGGACTTTAGACGTATAGGCTACCTCCCTCATTCCAGACGTTGGGAAACTAAGCCCCAGAAAGGACAACTAGTCTGTCCCTGTCATGCACCTAATCAGTGGCCGAGCTGGGACTCAACTCCAGGTCCTCTGTCTTCCAGGCTCAGCGTCTTCCCACTGCATCAGCAAGTCCTGAGGTTTTTACAGCCGAAGCCCATTTTAATTATTTACTCCTACCTCAAGCTGTCACTGTCCTGCGTTCCAAGTTTGGAACAGTACTGTATCTGCCAAAGCGCTTTTATTAGTGAGTAATTAGCTAGTTACCCATTTTTATTAATCAAAACCACAGACACACATCAATCAGACTTTCTCATCAGCCTAAGATCTAACCAGGGTTACCATATGGATAGAGTAAAGAAACTCAAAGTATGATCTCAACTCAGGTTTTTTAAATGTCAATAATAATAATAATAATAATAATATCCCTTGAGGTATTATCACCTTCAAAGACCCTTAAGGACTTATTAGAGAACCCAGGTTGGGAATTATTGTACAGCATCATGCTGCCCGCTCAACAGCACTCAGGGTTGTCTGTGCCCCCAGTGAACAAATCTTACTCTAGATGTACCATCTAAAGACTGCGTCCTCCCTTCCTCTCACCTTCCCACTTTCCTCGCTCCTTCCCTTTCTCCCTCATCATTCAGATCGCCCACAGAGCATACGGCAAATAATAGCCATGTTTGTATAACTGTTTCAAGAACAGATTAGAGAGATCTTACCTATAACTCTAAACCTTTTATGAATCAAATATGATTTTGAACCTAATTGAGTTGAACAAAAAGAGATTTTAGATCAATGACAGAAAAGAACATAGACTGAACTGTCCTAAATCAAATATTTGCGAGAGAATATAATACATAAAAATTTCTCTTTCTAACTGGGTAGGATTTCTTGCGTGCTCTGGAGCCAGACACAACACAAAGCAAACCATTAACACAGTGACTCTCGAGATTTTAGATTTGCGAGATTTTCATTTCATAACTCACTTAGGAAATGGTAAACTGAGGTAAACTGGTTAAACTGAAGAAGCTGCTCGCGGTTGCTGGAGGTACTTGGCTCCATCCTGAAGGGTCACTATCTTGGCATACCTATAACCCATTTTCAGTTCACCAGTTGAGAAGTCCCAAATTAGCATAATTAACTGAAGAATACTAAAAATCTCATGATTATTTGATTATGGGATATTAAGTGACAACAAGGGAATCAATCAATAAAATTCAACTTCTATTTCTTTTTTGTGTGTGTGTGTGTGAGGAGATCAGCCCTGTGCTAACATCTGCCAATCCTCCTCTTTTTTTGCTGAGGAAGACTGGCCCTAGGCTAACATCTGTGCCCATCTTCCTCTACTTTATATGGGACGCCGCCACAGCATGGCTTGACAAGCAGTGCATCAGTGCGCGCCTGGGGTCCAAACCGGAGAACCCCAGGCCGCCGCAGCAGAGCATGAGCAGTTAACCGCTTGTGCCACCGGGCCGGCCCCCTCGACTTCTATTTCTGATTTAAAATCTTGGGAGAAAAAAGCACTCATGGAATGTATTTTTTAAATTTGAGTGAAAACCTTAATTGAGACCCGTCCGTTGTAGTGCCTTTCTGATAACATCTGCAGCGTGAATTCGTCCTGTTCTTTGGTGACTGGCAGCTGCGAGAGTGTTTATTCTTCAGAAGGCTTTTCTACCACTCAGCAGTAGTTGGTGCACTCACGCTCGGATAAAAGCCTCTCGAGTTGTTCTTTCAGTCTGGAGGAGACAATGAGAGAGGCACTGGCCCTCGTGCCCGGTCACTAGGCAACTGGACAGGCAAGGAGCAGGAGCAGCCCAGACTGCCCTGCGTGTCTGCTGCATAGTCCAAGCTCACATCAGCCCAGGCCGACCCCAGCAAAGTCACATGGGGCAGAAACATGCCCTGCTGTGAGGAGGCCGGGCGGAGCGCCCAGCCTCGGCCCTCCTGTTGATAAACTCAGAGGACCAGCCACTTTGTCCTGCTTGAGAACTCAGCTGGGTCCGGGTCTTTATGTGGACCCCAAAGAGAGGCAAAGATCCTGCCTTGTAACAGCCCTCCTCCTGCCATCCCTGGAAAAGGGCTCAGTGGTTGTTAGCCAGGCTCAGACTCAAAGTCTCCCAGTTTACAGAGAGCTCCATGTGCACTCCAGGGAGGCCTGGGGATGCTCTGGGAGCTACCTGGAGCACATTGTGAATCCTGTTCCCCTTTGGGAACGTGCTTGACCTCTGGACTTTGCAGACGGGGAGGTCTGAAAGGGGCCCTTGGTTTTCTCCAGTTCAAGGTTGAACCATAAAAGGAAATTCTATAGCCTCTAATTGTCCTCAGCACAGATGAGACAAATGAGGGCTTTTCATGGTAGAATTACCCAAATATTAGCCCTTGTTAGGGATGAGACCTTAGACTTCCGCACTGTGTTACCTTAGCAGAGTCGGACCCACATCAAATGTAATTAGATGTTGAAGTTCACTTTATCATAGAAAATGGTGATTATGCAAAATGTAGCCTATGCTATTAGAATGTGTTTTGGGTTTGGAAAATTGCATCCTTCTCTTCCACATTGGGTTGGCTTGTGGTTACTAATTCTCGAACCTCCCAGAGACTCCAGGCTAATTAAGGTTTGCACAGACCAAACGGACACACTTCCTCCCTCCAGGAGCTTTGATCAGGCCCAGGTCTTGACTTCCAAACTGTGTTCCTTAGAGATGCCTTTGGGACTGCAGGGTGGAGGGTGGCAGCAGCATGCTGGACCCCACCGTTTGTCTGGAGCAGCTCCTCTTATTTGTTGAGTATTTTGGGCCGGCGAGCAAGCTTTTGTTTGAAAGAAAGAATTCCAAGGCTAACAAAGTTTTGAAAGCCACTGCCCTAAACCACAGATTATTGCTGTGAATATCTGTGTGTATATATTAGGTTTCCACAAATTCTTTCTATGCTCTTTTTTCTTTACTGGAATTTTTTAAAATTAGAAGTCAAACAATATGAGACATATAAGAAAAAGGTCAAACATCTCTCCCCTTACTCCTTTCTACTTCTGCTCTTTGAAGATAACCAGCATTGACAGGTTGATACACATCCTCCCCTGCCTTTCTCTGTGCTGATGTCCTTTAAAATGTTTTCATTATGAAAAATTTCGAACATACAGAACAGTATAGACTAGTGTAATTAACCCCTGTATACCCATCCCCCATTTCCAATAATTATCAAAATTTTACAATACTTGCTTCATCTGTCTCTTTCTCATATATTTTTGGGTTTTGTTTTGTTTTATAAAAATGGCATCATACTACACATGCTACTTGACAACCTATTTTTTACTTAATCTATCTAAAAAATTAGTCTTTATCAGCTCATTTACCTCCTCCTTTTAATAGCTTTGTAGTTTTCCATTGTATGCTTGAACCATCATTTACTCAAACATTCTCCTTCCTTGGACATTCAGGCTGTTTCCGAAGTTTTTTGCATTCTGGCTGTTTCCAAAGTTTTTTGCCACCTCACAAATTACTGCAATAAATGTCCTTGTACATATGTCTTTACATATTGGTGCATTTATTTCTGTAGAATAGATTTCCAAAAGTGGGATGGCAGGATCATGGGCTATATATAAAGTTTTGTTAAATATTGCTAAAGAATATTATAAAAATGTTGTAGATACACAACCTCCCACCAGTAACGTATGGATATGCCCTGGATGTGGTTGCTCATTAAAAATGTTGTGAATCTTTTTTGTAGAGAAATGGCATAAAATCGATTTTTTGTGTGTGTCTGTGAATGGATTCTTTTTCTGCATTAATTTTGTAAATTACAGTTTTGCAACCATTATTTAGGGGAAGATAGACATTAGAAACATCTGCAATAGAGGGCAAGAGGGAAATGTCTTTTGAAGACCAGCCACTGCTCTTTGTTCCTGTTAGTTTGCACAGCGGAAAATGGGTGCTGGCCGTGTGGTACACATCTGTAATCTCCCTGAAGGAAGCTGCACTGAGAATGACGTCATTAACCTGGGGCTGCCCTTTGGAAAGGTCACTAATTACATCCTCATGAAGTCTACTAATCAGGTAGGTCTGGGCACTTTCACACTAGCATGTACCAGATAGACCACACGTTAGTGGGAGGAACGATATGATTTTTTTTTTAAAGAAGCTATTCTTAACATAGAGAGGTAATAGAGAGCTAGCCTCTTGTTGGTACCGCACAGAGGGTTTTTTTGGTGGTGGTGTGTTGTTTCCCCTTGTTTTATCTTACCCTTCTTGTGATGGGTCCAAGCCTTTGTGAGTTGCCTAGAGATGAGGAGCTGCTTTGGAATGAGGGACTCATTAACATAGAAAAGCTAACTGGCCCCCAAATAGCAATCCACGGACTTGAGTCTTTTCACTGTGTGGCTAACCCCTTGAGCTAATGCTACAGTCTTACCTTCTAAGCTTCTCATATCCGAGGGCCTGGATTTGGAGCCAGCCAAGAACTGACTGGGGACAGGTATTTTCACTGATCCTTGGTGTTAGCATCTGAGGCCCTTGGGTCTCATAGCAGGAGAGTAGGTGGCAATTGATGGATGCCTGGTAAGTCTAAGGAACTAAGACCCTTAACTCGTGGGGATTGACTGAGTCCTTGGGGGTTAATACGTTTGTCTTCATTTCTAAAGTCAAAGTGGGAGTTTATACAGAGAATGGTTAGAAATCAGAATAGTTTGTCTTTTATTTTTAACAAATATTTTTACTTTATGAAACAGAGGAACTGCCATAGGGGAAATTCTTAATTAAGGTGTGAACTTTGAAGACTCAAAGTCACATCACATCATCAATGGTCTTCCTCCATCAATCTGGGCTTAGACTACTCACTTAGTCTCTTTGTTCCTAATTCCCAGAATTCTGTTTTGGGTAAACATCCAAAATTCAGCTTGCAACATTAATGCAGTGAGATTCACTGAATTAATATTATCCCTATTTGACTGGTGAGAGCTGGAGGTGCTAAAATGTGTGCATAAAGAAAGAGGCACTTAGAAAGCTGAGTGGCAGAATTTGAAATGAAACTCTAAAGAATCTTGACTTCTTAGTCTCCCACACTTCTACAAATAGACTGTGACAGCATGGAGAAAAGCATGGCTGAAATTCAAAAACAAATGTCAGGGAAGGTGGGAGAATGAGATTGTTTAGCCCATTTGGTTCAAGGAAGTGGGAGAGGAGGGCCTCACAAGGAGAGGTCCCTTGTCACAGACCACTTTTCCTTCTCAACATGGAGAGACCAGATCAGTACATCGTCAGTATTGTGCAAACCAAACAAATCTAAGAAACAATAACAGCGATGAATCCGTCACAGCAGCTACCAGGGTAAGCTGAGAGGTTGGTCAAAACAGTCTATTTAGAAAGTCTCTGCAGACACTCATTGAATGGAAGAGCCCATTCGTTTCTAAGTGTTTTATGTGAACAGTTAAATAAAGAGGAAAAATGCTATGGAAACTTATGTGAGGGTTTTCCTCTCTCTTTAACTCACAAAGGCGTGGCCTTCCTTCAAGCCTAGGGAGCCTCTGAGTTTGTTAGTGTATTTCTTTCTTTGCAAAGAAAGTGAGAGCTCAAATACCCAGGGCTTGTGTCTCTGTCTCCTGCCATCGCCACAACCAAATAGCAAGTTCCTTTGTGCAGCAGACTCACTGTCCCCCTACCCCACCCCTCCCCTTGGGGAACTCCCATCCCAGGGGGCTCCTGTGGCATGATGTAGTCCAGGATGGACATACGTAATTAAGAAGAATGCTTGGTAACCATGGGGATCAGGAGAGGGGGCCATCTTATAATGAGCTCCTTTGAGGAAGTTAATAAATAGTTATCTTTGAACAGATGGCATCAAAGAGAGCTCTTTCTTGTACTGATTTTTTTTTTATTGAGGTATAAAATATATAGTCTAAAGTGCACTAGTCTTGAGTGTACAACTCCATTTATTTTTTTACATGTGGACACCTATGTAATTAACATGCAGGTCAAGATATAGAACATTTCCAGAACCTCAGAAGGTTTCTTCATGCCCCTTGTCAGTCAATATCCCACCCCCTCCCCTGAGGGAAGCTCATCTCTAACTTTATCACTGTCGATTCGTTTTGCCTTTTCTTGACTTCATATACATGGAATCATACCTCGTACTGAATTTTGTTTAAGACTATTCAAGTCAAGCCCTTGGACTCAAGCCCAATGTATGTCCTTCCTTTCTCTCCTAGGCCTTTTTGGAGATGGCTTACACAGAAGCTGCCCAGGCCATGGTCCAGTATTACCAAGAAAAATCTGCTATGATCAATGGTGAGAAGTTGCTCATTCGGATGTCCAAGAGATACAAGGAATTGCAGCTGAAGGTAAAGTATTCTCTTGTTCATTCAGTCATTCAACAAACATTGGCTTGTCAGGTATAGGCCTAAGTGCTGGTGGGAAGGAGAGGATAGGAAAAGATCCAAAAATTGCTCATTCCCTTTGAGGATATCACATGGGAAGGCAAACCATTATAACATGGCAACATAACATTGAGGTAAGTACAAAACACAAAGGGATGCTTGAGACAGGATGACTAACTACCTGGACCCAAAGAGCATTTTACAGGGGAAGTCTTGAAGGATGAAGTAAGAAGGAAAATGTGGTTGCATTTCAGAGATGGGAGTTCCAGGCATAAACCTCTGAATATACCCTCCTTCTCTGCTCATACAGGTCTTCAGTAACTTTTTCTTCCTCCGTCACCCCCCTTGATCTCTTATTGTCTCCTGCATCCTCTGTATTTATGTCTTAAGCCCGGTAGAAGTCCTTCTAAGCTGGACATGGCTGAATTGGCCACTGTCAGAACTCAGGGATGAATTCAGATAATTCCAAACAGGGCTTTTGTTTTTGTTTTAGCTTGTTCTACATTTCTCTTTTCTTTTCTTTTTTCTTTTTTGTTTTATTGTGAAGTATAACATATAGACATAAAAGTGAATAATTATGTATTATACAGTTTAAAAAGTAATAATGGATGAAATCCCATAAATCCCATAAAACCACCACCAAAGTCAAGGAATAGGACGTGGACAGCACCCAGAAGCCCCTGTGAGGCCCTCCTCATCCTCAACCCCTCCCTCTCCACTCTCCTGACTGTGAGGATAATCATTTCATTATAGTTCTACCATCTATATATGCCTTCCTTAACACTATAGTTTAGTTTTCCCTGTTTTTGAACTTTATGTGAATGGAATCATCCTGTCCATGTTCTTTCATGTCTTGCTTCTTTCATTCAACATTGTGCCATCCATGTTTTTGGGTGTGTCTGTTTATTTTAATTGTTATATAAATTTCCCTTGTATGACTATAAATTTATTTATCCATTGCACTATTGATGGACATTTCGGTTGTTTCCAGTTTTAAGGTGTTAGGGACAGTGCTACTATGAACATTCTCAAACATGTTATCCTGGTACACACATACATCAGCATATAGGTAGGGATACGTACATAACTAGGGGTGGAATTGCTGGACCACAAGGCGTGCTTATCCTCAACTTTACTAGATAATAAATAGCAAGCTGTTTTCAGAATTAGTTGTCCCACGTTTCCACTCCTACTAGTAGTGTCTGAGAGTTTTCAATGGTCCACCTTCTTGTTAACACTTTATCTTATCCAACTTTCTAATTTGCCTGTCTGGGGAGAGTGTAATAGTTTATTCTGGTTTTGTTTTTTCTTTTCCTGATTACTAATTGAGGTCAAGCACTTTTTTGTACGTTTGTTGGTTATTTCATCTAGATCTTCTCTGGTGGGAAATCTTTTTGCAAGCCGTTTGCCCCTGCTGCTCTTTTGGATTGTGTCTTCCTATTGATTTGCAGGAATTCTCTTAACTGGAATACTTAGTCCATTTGAATTTATTGTAATTAATGCTGTATTTGTGTTTAAATCTTATTTTGTGCTTTCTACTATCATATTTAGTAGGGATTTTCCAGTTTACTTCAGCTCATTCCACATTTACTTAGAGTCCATTCTGTTCAAGATCCACTGCCCTTAATCTGCCTTCTAGGTTGAAGTCAGAAGTCAAAGCCTGAGTGGTTGTTTCTAGCTAGGACTAGCATTCTGACAAGTCTACAGATGTAGATCGGCATATGTCAACCAGTTGCCAAAGTCCTGATTCTGCTTTGCTTGCATTATTGCTTCTGAAGTTCCTTTGTCAACCATTCTGCTTCAGGCAGAACCTGGCACTTTTTTCTGACTAATGAAAGCATGTTGCTTTTCTCAGACAAGTAAAAGATCCCATCCCGTTCTGTACTCAGCCAAAGTTCCTGTTCTCCTGGATTCTCCCCTGGGGGCTACAATTGAATTTCTGCACTGAATTCCCAGTGGAGCTTTGGTCTCCAAATGCGGTGTTGTCATAAGTTTCTCATTAGGATTAACAGCAGTACTCAGCTTCTTAAATTAAAGTACCAAGGCACTGCAGTACCTTACCAAGGGATATAGTTTGGGGTGGTGCAAAAAGTATGGGTTAAAGAGGTCAGATGGTCAAGGTTTGCATTCAGCAAATGTTCATTGAGTGCCCACTGTGGGCAGGAACTGGGCCAGGCCCCAAGCATATGGAGGTAACAAGCTTGTAGAGGAGCTCACAGTCTGGTGGGAGGAAGAACAGGTAAATATAGAACCATCAACTGGGCCGGCCCCGTGGCTTAGCGGTTGAGTGCACGCGCTCTGCTGCTGGCGGCCTGGGTTCGGATCCCGGGCGCGCACCAATGCCCCGCTTCTCCGGCCATGCTGAGGCCGCGTCCCACATAAAGCAACTAGAAGGATGTGCAGCTATGACATACAACTATCTACTGGGGCTTTGGGGGAAAAAAAAAAAAAAAAAAATTAAAAAAAAAAAAAAAAAGAACCATCAACAACCATGTGACCTATGCCAGATTGGAAGGTGATGGTGCCAATCTAGGCTCTACTCCTTCCTGCTTTGATGAGCTTGGACAAGTTGCTTAATCTCTGTGAACCTCAGTTTCCAGATCATTAAAGGACTATACCTTAAGTTCTTTAGTTTTAATTTAAGCATTTTTTATCGTGTATTGTCTATTTGGGTCTCAATGTCACCCTCTGCTATGAGGTGTATAGGGTGGATAATAACAGTAATTATAACAGTACAATAACAACAACAAGAATATGTACCTTTAATTGAGTCCTGATACTCTGGATCAAGTAATATTCCAAGCACTTTACATACACTGTCTACTGTAATCCTGACATCATTTCTATCAGACAGATATTATTATCTCAGTTTTATGGATGGGGGAACTGAGACTAATAGAAGTTCAGTAACTTGCCCAAGATCGTACTTACTGGAAGAGCCATGATTAAAACTTAGGACTGTCTCGGTTTTGCACTGTATCTGCATCTCTATATTGTGTTATTATGATCTCTGTTGTCCACATGAAAGAAACAGAGAGAAATCGAGTAATTTGCTTACAGTCACCCAATCAGTAAGCAGCAGAGATAGTATTCTAACAGAGCTTCTCAAACTTTAATGTGCATACAAATCGCTTGCGGATCTTGTTAAAATTTCTGATTCAGTGGGCCTGGTGCAGGGCTTTGATTCTGTATTTCTAACAAGTTCCCAGGAAATGCTGATGCTTCTAGTCCTCAGAGCATACTTTGAGTAGCAAGGGTCTAGAACACATTGTTTTCTGACCCTTAGTAAGGATTTTCTGCTTCCCATGCTGTCACATTGCCTCTTAGGCTCATTGTGAAGGTCACATGGGATAAGCTATGTGAAAGCATTTCAAAGCATGTTTCAACTACATAGTAATGCATTATGATCCTTGTGTCGATATGAATCAGCTAGAACTTTCTCTGCAAGTAACAGAGATCCGTTTCAATTAAGGATATTGGCTAAAGTGAAAAAAGGAATTTATTGGCTCATGTAACTGAAAAGTACAGGAGTGGTTCTGGCTGCAGGCACAGCTGGATTTAGGGCCCCACTGATGATGTATTAGGACGTGATTTCTCTCCGCTCTGCCTGCTTGGCTTTGTTTTTGGGGTCTCCCTCGTATGGCCCTTGGCAGCCCTAGACCCTCTCCTTTAGGTGGCATGATGGCTTCAGTGGCTTCAGCAGCTCTGGCTTCTCATCCTCCCATTTCCTTCAACGAGAGAGAGCCAGAATTTTTCCCAGTAGTTCCCACAAAAGTCCTTAGAGTCACTCTGATCGCGCCAGCTTAGGACACATGCGCTTCCCTGAACCAGTCTCTGTGGCCAGGGAGAGGCTGTGCTGTGATTGACCGGGCCTGTGTTACATCCTCCGAGCAGGGGTAGAAAAGGGGGAATGGCTGTTGAGGAGGTAGACAGCAAAACACTGTATCCATTTGTGTCTCTGGGCCAAAGAGGCCACCACGTGGGGTCCCACCAGGGCTTTCAGAGGTGGGGGAAGTTGTGATTGGTCTTTCTCCTCTAACTTTACCTTTTGCCCTCCAGGCAAAGTGGAGGAAGAGAAAGGAGAGATTTTAAGGGCTTTCTCATCTCCTCTCTTGAATATTTCCTCATGCCCATAATCTTCTCTCCTCATACCCTTTTTGTGGCAGGGATTTTATTCCTCAGAGCATTTGAGGCAGAACCTTTCACATAATAGGTGTCCACTAAACACGTGGAATGAATGAAAAGCAAAAATCTAAAGGAACAATAAAAAGTGAGAGTGTTTTCTTCTTGCAGACCTGGACAAGAAGGTTGAATTATTTTCTCGATTGTTCTACAGAGACTTCCAGAATCACAGCATCTGAGATGCTGACGGGAACTTGGAAAATTTAAACCAGTGTCTCCTAGTCACTGCATCAGAGAATTGTCAGGGGAGTTTCAGGTCCTCTTGCCCAGAGATTCTCGTTCAGTAGATTTGGGGTGGGACTGAGGCTCCCAGGTGATTTGGGGGCAGAGGGCCTGGTTTCAGAGCCACTGGTCTTGCCAGCCTCCTGACTGCAGAGAAGGTCTCTGGCCCTGGGAAGCAGTCTTGTGAGTGGTCCACGATGCTCTCAGGAGGATTAAGTCAGCAAATGGTGATTGAGAGTCTTCTCCATGTAGGACGAGGTGCTGAGAGCTACAATGAATATGAGACATGGTTCTCACTTGGGGAGAATTTGCTATCTAACTGAGGACACAAGCTATTCTTATTATACAAGATTTAAAAGTTATACAAGATTTAAATGGGAGCTTCTAGAAGTTCATTGGCAAAAGGCAGTGTGACTTGGATGTGTAAAGAAAAGAGAGATTACTGGGCAGGGCTTTGAAGGATCAGGCAAATTAGCTAAACAGAGAGGAGTCTTCCAAGTGGAAAGGGTTGGATGACAAGAGATGTAGAGCCTGGAAAGCACAGTGATGTTGAAAACGGTCGGGGCTGCTGAGACAGGATCTGGCTCTGATAAGTTCAGGGCTCATCTGGAAGGTTTCAGCCTCTTCCTGGGACTCTCGAGGCATGCAAAACAACTGTGGAAGGGTCAGAGGGCGTGACACTCTCTAGAAGCTCCCTTTATGTTGGCCCAGCAGTCCATGGCTTTTATCAGTGTTGCCTGCCATGCCCGAGGCCTTGGTGGATGCCAGATGGGCCTCATTATCTCACCTTTATGGGTGGAGAAAGTGAGTCTCCCTGACAAGAAGCCTGGACCCCAGGTGACCCAGCCAGCTGGAGGCTGAGCTGGGGCTACTCTTTCTGGGCTGAGATTCTTGCCTCCCTCTGAGTATGCCAGCACCTCCCTAGGACTGCATGGGGCTTGGAATCTCACCCTTGTCTTAGAAGCAGCAAGATGTGTTGACCGTGAGCACTGTGGATTGTCCCGGTGGGTTGTTGAGCCACATCGGTGTCATCATAGAATGGACGAAAAGATACCGCATTTGGCATTTGCTTCAAAATATTCTATGGGGTGGGGAAAGAGATGGGGCTATAGATGAAACAGGAGTGGTTAGAATCGTCGACAATGGGAATGGATTCATGGGGGTTCATTATACTCTTCTCTCTACTCTTGTGTATGTTTGAAATGTTCTACAGTGAAAAGGTATCCAAAATGTCATTGTAGACCTACTCTGTTCGCTCCCATTTCACTTTTTTGCAGTGATCACAGCTTTATTTTACCTGCCTCCCGTACACCTTTAACCACAGGATGCTGAGGCCAGGTCTGAAGAGGAAGGTTAAGAGGATTTTCTCAGTGCTGTGAGAAGTAGATTCTGTTATTTCAAAGTCTTTGGCCACTTCTGTCCCCTTCTCAGATGGCAGCTGGCAGGGTGTTTGGGCCAGGGAGTGCCAACAATTTGGAATTATCACTTAAAATAGAGGAACTGATCTGTGGTCCTCAGAGGAGGATCACAGTGCCTGTGACTCCCGGCCCCAGCATGTAGTATTTGCAGATGGTCATCTTTGTAGCCCCAGCCATTCATCTTGGACCAGGTATTATGGAGCACCTGTTCCACGCAGGGCTCTGTGCTGTTGCTGCCTGCGTGAACGTTAACAATCTAATGCCCTGCCTCCCTGGGGACATGAATAGAAGTAACTTCAGAGGGCGCTGGGCTGAAAGTGGCCCCAGGAGGATATTCTGTGACTGGGAAAATAAAGAGCAGGGAAATGTTTAAGCCAAGAAGCGGCTTTTCTAGCCCCCAGAGAGTTCTAGATGCATCTCTTTGACCCCTGGGGCACTGCATGGGCCAAGGGAGATGTTTTCACCTGTGGTGCTGTTTGTCTGGCTCTGCCCCTCATCAGGGAGCACCCCAGAGGGGAAGGGTATAAAGGGGTGCTGTCTGTGATGAGGGAGGTATGGAGGGGACCACGAGCTCCTGGCTCTGACATTGGCCTGACCTGCCCCTCCCTGCAGGTCTCAACCCCACCCCGTGCTGCCCCTGGGTAATCTGCAAAACCTCAGCTGCGCACTGATCTGGCCATCCTCCTCTCACCCCAGGCTTTTCCGGATCTGGGCTGGAAGGAACAGTCAGGAGGATTTGAGGTTCTAGAAGAGCAGAAGAAACCTATTTGGGACTATGGGGACTCTTTGCTACAGAAAAGCCTCATCCAATCCCCTCAGGGAATTTGTATGTTCTGAAAAGTTGCCATGGGACATTTAACCCAGTTTGGGGGCACATTCTTTAGCCTTTGCCTGCTCCAGCTGGGCAGCATGGGCCATGGATTTGGGACCCAGGATGTGGCCTCCCCGGTGATGGCAGGTCTCCTCACGTGTCCCTGCACGTGGTCCTGAGGGCTCCCACCGGCTCTCCAGAGCTCTGTTTGCTCATGTGTTGACCTGGGTGGAGGCAGTCCCGCAGCAGGTCTTCTGGGGAGCAGCCACCCCAGGCTGGCCTTTCCCGTGATGGCACAGTAGGCAGCTTCCTTCTTGTGGCCCAAGGTGGGCAGGCAGGGAGAAGACCCGCTCAGAGGGGTCACCTCCAGATGAACCTTCTCGTTCTACCCCCGGGTAGTGACAAACAACCCTGGCAGAAGGACAGGTGGTCACGGGTGGGGTGGAAGGAGGCATCCTGGGCAGCCCCAGCTTCTTTCCTGGCTTGGCCTTGGGTCTCTGCTCATGGTCCAGTTTAAGCAGCTGAGGAGCGAGATGACAGTGCAGGGCCAGGGTGATCTGGCTACTTGTGGGTGGCACTTGCATACACTCTAGAAGGTCAACCTTGACAGCTACAATCAGATGGAAAGGACCATTTGCCAAAACTGTGAGGCCCCCTTTCGGGTGGATATCCTGACCAGTGCTAAGGGCTGGGCCTCTCCTTGCACAGGGGTTTACTGACTTCTTGACCTGCTACTTCATGACTGCAGGGGACAGGTCACTGCCTTCTCTTTGATGTTCTTTCCTTTTGCATTTCAAGCTGACAAGAGATCCCTCCCTGGTGTGAATATTTTATATCCCTTTCCTGAGTCCTAGCCCTGACCTCTCGCCCTGAAACCACAGGCAGCTCCTCCTTCATTCTCTCCTTTACTCTGTGTTTTCCCAGCACAACCCTCAATCTCAACAGTGACACTGATGAGCAGCCATGCACTGAGAGGACCCATAGAATTCTAGTCCTGGCCAGACCCCATGGCTCACTTCCTAGCTCTGGCCCTGGTTTTCCCATCTGTAAAATGAGATATATGACGACACCTGACATTCATATAAATCTAAGATTCCCTCATTCTTTGTAAACTACATAGAAAAAACATTGAGAATAAAAAGAACAGTTGATTAGTTAAATAAAACTTAACAAAACTCTTTTAAAAAACTTAATAAAACTCTTTGTCAGAAGCTGACATTACAGACTGAGGATTTTGAGTTCTTTTTTCTTTAATGTTGGCTTTATTGAGATTTAAGTCACATACCATAAAATCCACCCTGCTCCATATACTTTAAATAATTTTTTTTTTTTGCTGGGAAAGAATCGCCCTGAGCTAACATCTGTTGCCAATCTTCCTCCCTCTCTTTTTTTTTCTTTCCACCCCAAAGCCACAGTACATAGTTGTATATTCTAGTTGTAAGTCCTTTTATTTCTTCTACGTGAGCTGCTGCTACAGCATGACAGCTGACAGACGGGTGATATGGTTCCATTCCCAGGAACTGAACCTGGGCCACCCAACTGGAGCACGCTGAAACTTAACCACTAGGCCAGCAGGGCTGGCTCTCCATACATTTTAATTGCATGGATGCATTCTGTGTAGTCTTTTCAAATATGCTTCCACTATTTCTTTTGTGCTCAAGAATTTCTTTTTTTAATCATTTATTTTATATTGTTTGTCCATTCTGGGTTTAGGAAAGAGCCTTGTTTGGGATTTGGGGGCTGGAGTTGGTCCTGTCCTGGCACAGCCACTATATAGTGACTTCTGGAAAGGGCAGAGCATTTGAATGCCTGGCATCCTTAGCTGTGAAACATGGCTCACAACCTATACTGTCCACCAAACAGATTTCCACTGAGAACGAATGACCCCTATGGAGGAACACGCTGGAGTAAGGTGTTGAAGGGATCACGGAGCATGGAAAGGGTCTTGGAGTTAAAATGCCTGTTGTCAAGTCCTGATTCTCTAATGATCTCTATGACCTAGAATGTGTTCCTTAACCCAGCCCCACTCCAGGCGTCACCATCTACATAGAATAGTGTGGCTGGTGACTGGAGTTGTGTAGGGCAGAACTCTGCCTCAGGCTCTCTGGGCCTCAATTTCTACATGTGTAAAATGTGGACGCTGTATTCAGTGCTCTTCAACTCTCTTTCCAAGTTATAATGCCTTCCTTCCTCCTTCCTTCTTTCCCTTCTTTCTGTTCTTTCTGATATTTCGTTTTATTCGGGAGGGATGGAAGGCGGGTATTAACAGATGCTGCTTTTTCACAGCACGTGGATGGTGAGCACCAGGCTCCTTCCTTCCCCAGCTCAATGGACGCCATGTCCCGTGGACCACTCGGCCCCACCACCATTCAGCATCATGCTCACGTTCCTCATCCCCTGGGTTAAAACTTTTTCTTCCCCTGAAAAGGCACTTTTTCCCCTTTGGTGGACTGGGAAATGAACCCAAGTCCCAGCTACTTTCCTTTGGTGTTTGCAAGGCCATTTTTGGTCTGATGGTGACCTCTCTGACTTTGCCTAGAAACCTGGGAAAACCGTGGCTGCCATCATCCAGGACATCCATTCCCAGAGGGAGAGGGACATGTTCCGGGAAGCAGACAGGTGAGGCCCAAGCCTTAGGTCTCAGGGCAGATTCTGAGCAGTTGGAACCCTCTCCTATTTCTCATTCTTACGGGTATTTGAGTCACACTGTGCCCTGCCCTTGCCCCTGCTCTGTCCATCAGCCTTTCTGGGCCCTACCTTGTCATGTGCCCAACGGAACACATCAGTCTGGTCTAGAAGTGCTGCTCAGGTTAAACCTCAGGAAAATGCAAGATGCTAGGCTTCCCAGTGGCTCCTCTTTGGTCGAAAGGAGGATAGGAAGGGGTCTATTGAAGTTTGGCCCTTTGGAGCAAGTCTACACTCTACTGAAACAGCCTGAAAGTATGTGTGTGTGTGAGTGTGTATGTGTGTATGTGTTCTGTTTAGAGCCAGCTCTTGAGTTTTCATGAGCTGAATGTAGTTGTAGGAACAGGAATGTAGATGGCCCCCCAAAAAACAATTACTTGACGAGTCACTTACTCTGAACACTGAATGCATTCAGTTTTCCAACTCATTACTTCCAACTGAAATTGTGACCATGCCAAGCTGGGGCTTCAAGTTTACCACTGTCGCTGCCCTTCAAAGACAGTCCCTGTGGAGAAAGCCAAGGTGGAAAAGAGCAGCAGCGGGCACCTGGCCAGAACATTCTGTGGTTCTTACCCAGGGCTGCCACAGATGGCGCTCTAACCTCATTGTAGAGAGCTGAGCCCAGGCTGTTTCCCCAGTGACGGTCAAGGCAGCCTGGTCCTAGTGAGCCACATCTGGGTGTCGCCTGGTCAGTGAGGGCTGTATGGTTTTCCTATATTTGGGAACCAAATGAAAATTGCCCATCCTTTTAGAATATCTGGAATGATTCAGTTGATCTGCTTAGTAATCAAACAACCTTCAGAGTGTATATGTATATGTAATACGTGTGTGTGCATGTGCGTCTTTGTATGCAGCCGCTTGGGTTTGAGATTTTTGTGTTTAGTTGTTTGGTTTTTTTTTTTTCAAAGTGGTTATTTGGGTTTTTTAAAGACATATGTAAAGCCAAACTGCTGGCTGCAGTTCTGTGGCAGAGTGTGTGTGTGTGTGTGTGTGTGTGTGTGTTTGTGGGGGGGACTAGGAAGCCTTACTTTGAACCTTAGGCAAATCAGTGTCCTTTTCTGGTTTCAGTTTCTTCATCTGAAACACCAGCAGGTCAGAGCTCTCAGGTCCCTTCCAACCGTAAAATGCTTTCCTAGTTCTTCAGCTTTTGGAATCTCTGAGCCTGCCCTCCCCCCTCTACCGTGCCCAGGATTGGAACAAATGGAGATGAAAAATAAACAAGAAAAAATGGAGGCCAGGAAGTCGCCTTTGTTCGATAGAGGCCAAGCAGAGGAGTGGCTTCAGTCTTGTGGCCAAGAGGCTGGCTAGCTGAACCCCAGGGTTAGGCCGCCTTGCCCCCAGGCTGGACCAGGACAGCTTCATTCACAACCCTCACCCCAAACACCCTCAGGAGGAGAGTCGCCTGCTTCCTGAGTGTAGCTCACTTCCAAGAGGAAGAGAGATGGGACTGAGCCAAACGGGTCCAATTCTTCATCCCAGTTCCCAGGAGCAGAATGAGTAAATGTGCATAGTGGCCAGGACTGTGCTTAGGAAAAATCCCTCCTCCTAGAAGCTAGGAGGGAGGAAAACCTTTCTCCTGTGCCACTCTCTGTGCGGTCTGTAGAGTTGTGGTGAAGAGTGTAGGGCTGGATGGGGTTATGTGCACAGTGGGTCTGTGCGAGAGACCGGGTATAGCTGGCTATAGGGGCGGGAGGGGTAGGAGGTAGGGCAGATTCTAAAAGCTGCTCGTTTGCTCCCTCACAGATACGGCCCAGAAAGGCCGCGGTCTCGCAGTCCGGTGAGCCGGTCGCTGTCCCCGAGGTCCCACACTCCGAGCTTCACCTCCTGCAGCTCTTCGCACAGCCCTCCGGGCCCCTCCCGGGCCGACTGGGGCAGCGGCCGGGACTCGTGGGAGCACTCTCCCTACGCCAGGAGGGAGGAGGAGCGAGACCCGGGCCCCTGGAGGGAGAACGGGGAGGACAAGAGGGACAGGACGGACACGTGGGCACACGATCGCAAACACTATCCCCGGCCACTAGACAAAGCCGAGGTAGACGAGCGACTGGAAGGAGGGAGGGGCCACCGAGAAAAGCACCCGAGGTCTGGGTCCCCCAGCCCGCTCCACTCGGTGCTGGGCTACAAAAGCCGAGAAGACGGCTACCACCGGAAAGAGCCCAAAGGCAAGGCGGAGAAGTATCTAAAACAGCAGCAGGACGCCCCCGGCAGGTCCAGGAGAAAAGACGAGGCCAGGCTGCGGGAAAGCAGACACCCCCACCCCGACGACGCGGGCAAGGAGGACGGGCTGGAGCTGAAGGTTAGGGCGCCCGAGAGCGCCAAGTGTAAGCAGAGTGAGAAAAACAGAACCAAGAGACCCGAGAGAGACCAAGAAGGAGCTGATGACAGAAGAGAAAACAGAATGGCAGAGAGTGAGGTAATGATGCCATTTCTTCCCCAGGTCAGGAGAGGCAGGTCCCAAAGGAGGATGATATTAATATGACGATGAACATTTCTGAAACGAGTGAAACACTTTTTGAATGTTTACTCTGTGCCAGGCACAGTGGTAAACACTTTATCTCAATCAAGTCATGTAGTCATATAATCCTCACAGCAACTCTGTGAGGTAATAATAGTAATAATAACATTATTACTGTGGGTGAGGAAACTGAGGCACAGAGAGCTTAAGTTAGTTGCCCAAAGACACACAGTCAGGAAGCGGCAGAGCTGGAATTATACCTGGTGATCTGGCTCCAAATCCCACAGCACCCTGCTGCCCATGCCAGAAGTTAGGGAGGGACATGATGGAAAGGAAGGCCCTCTGGTCCTGTTTGTCCAGGGTGGAGTGGCCCTGAGGTGTTGGCACCCACACACTCTGCCAAGGGAGATTAGATCTTTGGTCCACTCCGTCCTCTCTCCTGACAAAAGCATCCACCAATCCTGGGGCTTCCATGAGAGGCGGTAAAGGAGAAGCAGCCACCACCCACTAGATTATACTGGGTGCCCGGGGTGTGGTGTGTTTCTCTAGACACTGTCCATAGCGTTTCACTTCCGCTGTAATAAAAATGCTCGGCAGTTGGCCAGCACCTTTCATCTGAGCATCTGAAAAGGCCTATAACCTGCTGCATGACTTCAGTTCACACAGTGGGTCACCAGGAGGACTCTGGGTACCGGGTCTATATTCTACCTTGGCCTCCACTTCCTTCTTGCCAGAACCATCTACATGTAAGTGGGAGTGAGATGGGGGGCGGGGGGACCTGCATAAAGAACCCAATGTTAAAAATCCTACATGTATATCTTCTAGTCTGACCCAGAAGTTGGTGACAATGACTAAGTCCAAATAAGGAGCCCAATTCTCAACACCATGAAGACTAAGTGCCACACTTTTGGGCACTACTTCTGCATTCAGTCCTTCATGCATTGGTGGAGGGCCAATGCACAGGTCCCCAGGTGAACAGGACATAGTCCATGTTATGGCTGAGACCAAGGTCTAGTGGTGGAAGCAGACCTACAAACGTGATGTACACACAGTGGGGCCCGTGCTGGGGTCGAGCAGTGGATGAGCTGCTCTGTGGGCAGTGAACTCTGCACCGGGAGAGGAGGAAGGCTTCCCAGAGGAGGTGACATTTGAGCCGGGCATTGAAAGTGGGGAAGAAAGCACTTTGGGAAGCAGCAAGGGCAAAAGTGAGAAAGACTGTTTTAAAGAACCTGGAGATGCTTCACGTGGCTGCATCTTTAGGGCATGTCAAAAGATAATGTTTTTGGAAAGTAAAGTCATGGTCTTGTGCAAACATAAAATGAATACATGTCAAAGATGTTATTTAACTCATTAATGAATGAGAGAACCAGTAAGATGTAAAAGCCAGTTCAAAGGGGCCTCCAAAGAGCAGGTGACACATAGAGGCAATCAGGAATGCTGAAATGGGTTTGCTAATAGATGTGAAACTGGCCTCTTCCACAGGGAATGGGGAATCAGTTGCATCTCCACCAGATGAAATTCCTTTGCATCTCTATGAACAAGAATCATTTGCACTACTATTAGTTTTCTGCAATTTACAGAGTTGTACAATAGCTCGGTTCAAGTTACAGTGCAGACTCTTATAGAATCAGATACCCCGGAAGGGTGCTGGACAACTGCCCAGCATTCCATCGAAAGGACACCCAGGAATCTTTTTTGCCCTTCTCAAAGTCTGCCACAATTTTCCCTGGCTGGCCTAGCAGGGGGAAGCTCAGGAGAAGAGATTAAGGAAGTGGGTAGGGTGGGCTCATGAAGGAGCTCGTGTGCTTCAACTAGACTTGAAATGGATCCCGAGGCCCTGTGAACCAGTGGGTGTTTTTAAGAAGAATATATACGCTTGGAGGTTTCCAAGGGGCTGGTGAGGGTCAGTGACTCAGAGGGGCTGAGAGCAAGAGTGGGCAGGGGCTCAAGCCTGGACCTCACACACACACTGCCGGTCTGGGACCCTCTGTCTCCACGGCAAAGGGGTGGAGCTGTCCCTTCGCACTCCGACCCGCCTTCAAGACTCTTCTTTGGTAACTCACTTCTCCCACTGTGGTACGCACCCTGCCTGCATTGGTTTGCACATTATTTCCCTTTTAAGGTGACGCACACTATGGGTCATCCCAAGAGCCCCAATGCAAAAAAGGATTCCCAGAAAGCCCCATGGGTTTCCCACAATGCTGTCCCTCTAGTTGGTTCTGCCTCTAATAGCCCTAGAGTGGGGTCAGTAGGGACTTACTGGGGGCCCCAACAGATTGTGTCTGTGGGTTTGGAGCCAGGCAGCCCAACATTTGGTGGAATATCAGCAGAACAAAGAGTTTCCCTCACTGATCTCAAATTCTATATCATGATCTTGAGAAGAACACAGATCCACACACGGCTGCCCTGGGAGTCAGATAACAGGCAGTGACGGAACTCAGGGTTGCAGGCGGCAGGCTTTCTTCTAATTTACCATGCACCTCTCACCGCAGGGCCTCTACACGCGCTCCCCTGCCTAGGAGCCCCTCCCGCCGAAGTCCATGTGGCTCGCTCCTCACCTCCTTTGTCATCGTTGTCATTACTCATCGTCACATTCTCCACAAATTTACTCCTGGCCACTACATAAAGTCACAACATCCCAACCCACTTCTCTTCCTTCCTGCTTCCTTTTCTCTGTAGCACCTATCTCCTTCTAACCTCTCCCCTGACATCTTGATTTATTTTATTTAGTGTCTATCCTCCCCCTTCTGTACTCCCCAAATGTAACCTCCACAAGGGCAGAAATTTTTGTCTGCTGTGCTAGATTAGGGCTTGGCACAGAGTGGGCGTTCAGTAAGTATCTGTTGAAGGAATGAATGACTGAACCCAAACTCTGGAGGCAAAGTCCTGGCTTCTGAGTACCAGGTCACACCCTGTTTTTCTCTGCCTCAGTGTTCTTGTTTGTAAAATGGGTGTGATCACAAGACTGTTGTAGGACTTCAACAAGCTTGTGCTCGTTAGAAACACTCTGAGATCTCTGGAGGAAGTGCCTGTGCTGGAGAAGCCAGCGTGTGTGCTGCTCAGTGTTTGTGGGTGGCAAAGTCTGTACATGAGATCCAACCCTGATCACAAGACCACAGGAAGAAGGAAAGAAATCGTCACTGAATGGGGAGAACATCGGAAAGAAGCACTCGTCCACCTTACTGGAAGGGGGATCAATACCTAGAGAAGGGAAGCCAGGCAGGTGACACAGACCAGATAGTATGAGTGAAGCCAAGGTGGAGAGATGGGACATGGCAGACCGAGGAGGAGGAGGTGCCTGTATGTTGGGGGCGGCCAGCCACTGCTCAGCTCCATTGTATGGCTGGCTTTCCGGAATGCATGCCCTGTGCCGTTAGATCTCCCATTTCTTAGAGCAAAGCCAAAGTCCAGATATCTGTATGAAATTTATCATGTTTTAGAAACTGTATAGACCAAAACATGTCTGTGGGCGAAGTGGAGCCCAGGGATCCCCAGAATGCAGTCCCCAGTATAAACAATCCATAGGAGGATGAAATGGAAAAACCCCTTGTGCTCAGTTCAGAGCCCAGACACAGACTCAAGCATGGCGGGAGGCAGGTGCGAACTTGTTATTCACTCCACCCGCTCCTACCAGTCTCCATTCTTTTATTGACCAGCATCCATAGAGCACCTAGCACTGGGGCTGCAGTTGTGAGTGAAAGTTGAAATGAGAGATTTCAACTATTGAGATTTGACAGAATGGTGGGTATTTACTGAGTGAAAAGGAAGGCAAGCAGCGGGAACAGTATGTGCAAAGGCCCTGTGGCTAGAGACCAATGTTGCTGGAGCAGAGAGAGCCAGGGTTAGAATGGTGGGAGGTGAGGCTGATTTGTCAACAGGGGCCACATCATGCAGGGCCTTGTAGGCAGGTTAAAGAGTTTTGTCTTTATCCTAAGTGCAAGGGGAAGCAAATGTTTAAGCAAGAAGATGCAGCAAGGATATGACAGTTTTTGCATTTTGGAGTGATCATTCTTTTTTTGTGAGAAAGATTAGCCCTGAGCTAACATCCGTTGCCAATCCTCCTCTTTTTGCTGAGGGAGATTGGCCCTGGGCTAATATCCATGCCCATTTTCCTCTACTGTATATGGGACACCGCCACAGCATGGCCTGACAAGCAGTGCGTCAGTCCGTGCCAGGGATCCGAACCTGCGAACCCCCGGCTGCCGAAACGGGGCGTGGGAACTTAACCGCTACACCACCGGGCCGGCCCCTAGAGCAATCATTCTTGATTGCCTTAGGAAGAATAGACTTGGGACGAGGCTACAGAGCAGAAGTGGGAGACCAGTTAGGATGTGGTTTAGCAGTAGCCCTGGCCCTGTGGTGGCAGAGCCCTGCTTGCAACAGTTGGGACCTCTAATGTCTTGGTCCATGAGCTGGTGTGGGCAGCCAGGTGCACTGGTTGCACTTATCTGTTCCCCTTAAGCTGCCGCTCTGTCCTGGAAGTGTTCCCAGGGCAAGGGGTGCACTGAAAGGTGCTGCTCTGTTTCCTTTGCCTGCAGGGAGGAAGAGCAGGGGTCCGTCTGGCGGGGGCTCCGGCGGGGCCAGGCTGTCCCTGCCTCTCCCAGCTTGAACTGGACGAGGTCCCTTTACTGTGTTGACCTAGGAGTGTGGCTGGAGGAACTGCTTGGGAAGGGTAAGGATTATTTATTTTGACAAGGGAGGGCCATGGATAATTTATTCAGGGAGATAAAAATAAAGAAAAGTGGTCCCCTGTTAGCACAAGCTATGAGTTCTGATGGCTAAAAAAGCATTTGGAGCTGCTTTGCACTTAGGTTAGCTCAGAAGACTAGAGCAAAGCTTTCGGTGGAATCTTCCACTCCAAACCCTGGAGAGAGCAAGGACTTGAGGATTTGAACTGTCTTTCCCTGTCTGGTAATAACTGGTTAAACCAGCCAGCCCTGCGCTCCTGGTCCAGCTGGCTCTTTGTCAGCTCAGGAGGGGCTCTTTGTCTGTTGTAAGAAATCAGAACTAGAGTTGTTTACTTTACACCAACCTCAGCCAAAAATGTTGAGAAAATGCAGCTTGCCCCTGAGGGAGCCCAGGAATACTCATTGGTTTGGTGGCCAAAGTTTAAGTCACAGGAGAATATCCTCCAAAAACTTCGAAAACAGGGGTTGGCAAACTTTTTCTACAAAGTGCCAGATAGTAAATATTTTAGGCTACCTGGGCCAAGAGGCAAAATTGAGGATATTGTGAAGGTACTTATGTAAGCATTTAAAATGCGATTATTTAAAAATGTGAAAAGCATTGTTAGTTCACAGACTGTGCAACAAGACGCCCTGGGTCAGATTTGGCTAGAAGACTACAGTTTGCTGACCTCTGTTTTAAAGGCTGTTCAGAGGCCCTAATTCTCACACCAGACACCTGCTTTCTATTGTTCAATTTCCCAGACATGAGCACTGTGATGAGGGACTTGATTTGAGGGAGGGAATAGGAGGATGAAGAAGGGAAGGGATTGCTGGTTTGGGCCATAGCTTCACAGCAGAGAAGGGCAAAAGAGAAGTGAGGGGGGCCCTGATTGAATGATAACCCTCTTCCTACCCATAAGGGGCGTGGATGTGATTTTTTATGGCCACGAGAGATCTGTTGGTGAGATGTCACCATGACGGTTGTTGACTCTGTCGATTCACCCTTGGGTCTTTTACTTATCCCCACTGTCTATAAGTTTTGCAGCTGCAAACAGTACCCAGTTGCCAGGGATTTCTGCCCCTCTAAAGACATCAGGCTAGCCGTTAAGACATTTCTGTGCCTCCATTTGTCTGTGTGATCTTGAGCAACTTACTTAACCTCTCTGAGCCTCAGTTTCCTCATGTGTAAAATGAAGGTGACAATAGCACCTGCTTCCGAGGGGTTTTGTGAGGATAAAGGGAATGTTGTGTGAGCAACACAGCCGACAACTCTTAGCTGAGCTCTTTATCATTCTTTTTCTCTTGGTGCTCCCTCTTCCCCACTGCTCACGTTGATTGGGTTTGTTCTGTTCTTCCTTTCGTAAGGCTGGAAAAGAGGAACAGGAGGGCATGGAAGAAAGCCCCCCGTCAGCGGGCAGGCAGGAGAAAGACACAGAGTCCTCTGACCCAGAAAACACAAGGACAAAGAAGGTAAAATTTGTCCTAAATGCCAGCAGTGTAGCCACGTCTGCATGACAGCTGTTGGGGACCGAGTCACAGGAGTCCCCGTCCTGCCTGGTGAAGCCCCGCTGCGTGGGATGTGCCCGAGACCCCACCAGTGGTTCCCTGAATGAGGCCATCCTCCCAGCACTTCTTGGAGGAGTGGCTTGGCCTGGGATCTTTGCACAGTCTTTATTGAGGAGATCTTTACTACATGCTTGGGCTCTGCCACACTCTCCAGCAACTTGGCTGTGCTCATAAGAGAAAACATGCGCCCAAAAAAACTCGGGCTTCAGAGCCAGGCTCCCAAAATAGGCAGGTCCCTTGGGAGGAGGTGGGGGAGGAGCAGGGGCTTTAAGTGTCAAATTGGGGCCCTGACCTCAGCAGGCCCAGACCCTGGGATTAACAAGACATCTACTATGCTTGTAAAGATTATTTTACTTAATTAAAATGAAAAACCCAGTTACAGTGCTGGGGCTTCCTCAGCAAAAAGAAATGTCCTTGGAACGTGGCCAGCTTTGTGCCTTTCCGGTCAGGAGAAGTGGAGAGATGGGTATCTCTGGCAGGGAAGCCAATCTCCTAAATCAGACTGCTGGTCTGTGGGCTGCTGGGGACACGAGGGGAAAGTTCCAGCAGGGGCCAAGTGTGAGCCATGGCTAAGGAAGCTGCACCCTTTCTGGGAGAGGGTGCGTGGGGAATTTTGTGGGGGACTTGCTATGGCTACGTTTAGTGATGCCCCACATGCAAGGAAATAGCTCCAGCAGAATGATTTATTTAGAATTTATAACAATCATTCCTTCATTCAAAAACTATATATTGAGCACCTCTAATGTACCAGGGGTTGAAATTCTTTGTGCCACTTTAAACAAGGTGGATTAAGAATTGAGGGCTTATTCCAAATCCTGTGCTGTTTCGAGCCTCATCCTAGGGCTGAATCCTAGTGATGTGGGACTTGAGTGGTTTACAGCTCCTAATTACCTAGTAAATGTTGCCAGGTGGAAGTAAGAATGCTCAGGATCTTTCTGGTTTGAGGGGTCCTGTGGTCAAGGTTTGTGCCCGCTGGTTGGATACAAAGACCCGCTCCTCAGCCACCCTCTGACCTCCATTCTGCATTTTGGTTCAGGAGCAAGATTGGGAGAGTGGAAGTGAGGCCGACGGGGAGAGCTGGTACCCCACGAACATGGAGGAGCTGGTTACAGTGGACGAGGTGGGGGAGGAAGAAGATTTTATCATGGAACCGGACATCCCAGAGCTGGAAGAAATTGAACCCATTGACCAGAAGGACAAAATCTGCCCAGAAACGTGTCCCTGCCTGACGACCGCCTTACACCTGGACTTAGCCAAGGATTTCTCCCAGGAGGAAGTTAAGACCATGGGTAATGGGGCTACAGAAATCAGCCTCAAGTCACCCAAAGAACTTCCTTCTGCCTCCATGAGCTGTCCCAGTGACATGGACGTGGAAATGCCTGGCCTAAATCTGGATGCTGAGCGGAAGCCAGCTGAATGCGAGACAGGCTTCTCGCTGGAGGGTTCAGGTTGCTACGAGAAGCAGGCAAAGGGAGCAGAGAGCTCAGATGTTCATCTGGCCCCCACACTCCAGCAAATGTCTTCCCCCAAGCCAGCAGAGGAGAGGGCCCGGCAGCCTAGCCCACTTCTCGATGACTGCAAGGCCAGGGGGACCCCCGAAGATGGGGCTCGTGAAGGCAGCCCCCTGGAGGAGAAAGCCAGCCCCCCCACCGAAACCGACCTCCAAAGCCAGGCTTGCCAAGGAGTGTCGACCCAGGGTAACTACCTCCCTTTTCTCCTGTGCGGTTGGGTTGATCAGACCACTGCTCACTTAGAGAAGTGTGTGGGCATGTTGAGGCTGGAACGAACATAAGTCAGGTTTTAACCAGCATTAAAACTGGTGCAGAAGCAAGCTTCTAGAAGCCTGGTTATACTGTTAGAGTTTTTAGGCAAATGGTGTAAAGAAAATCAGATAGGAAACCACACGTTTTCTGAGAAGCAAACTCAGATAAGACAGACTTCTCTGAATTTGCAGGAGCCCAAATGGACTCTGACAACTAAAATTAGCAAAAGTTTTGAGTTATTAGCCAAAGGAGCTTTGGTTCCTCGGTTCCTGATGATCACTAAGCAGCCTCTTGTGCCTGCATAACAGAGGACCACCCAGGCTGTTATTTCTGTGAGGCCTGAGCAAGGGGGCCGGAGTGTGGGAGGCTGAGAAAGGAGTGGGCAGAGGGAAGAATGAGGGACTCACTAAGGGGTACGGCCTGTTCCCCTTCTTACTCCCTCAGACCCATTTTTCTCCAGGGTCTGACAGTGCAACAGACTTGTCCTGGGCACTCCTCCGCCCCCATTGGAGGTGATGTAGTGTCTGTGCCTGGCACTATGACATCATGAAAGACAGAGTCTAAAATAGGCTAAGCCCTGCCTTCTCTGCCAAGTGGGAAATAAGATCCATCAAGGACTATGGGGGGAGGGAGGGTGAGTAGCCCTCAATGTTCTCCCAGTGAAAATTACTAGAGATTCATTTCACACAAAACTGCAGCATTCCAGAGGTTGAAGTAAGAGGGACAAGAGTCGGGGGCAAAAACTATAGAGGAAAGGCTTAAAAATTAACGTTTCAGCCCAGTGCTCTGGGACTGGCATGAGCTGGCAGGTGAGCTGGAGGCTTGGGCTGTCCTCTGTGTCAAGCTGACCTGAGCTCTTTTCACCTGCGTGGATGTGCGTCTCCATGGAAACTGCCACGGGCTGCCTTTTTGTTGCTAGAGAAACGCTGAGGCCTGGGCTGTGTCTAGAGAAGGCAAGAATAAAGGAGGAGCGAAATGTTCACCATGCTCTGGTTGAACCCCTTTTATTTTGTGGGATCAGTCTCAACATGCACTAGTGTTAATGGCTTATTAGCCTACCCAGTGTTTGGAGTTCATATTTAACAACAGTGCTCGACGAGCTTGGGGTGAGAGTGGCATTTTTTCTGCCAGCCTCAGTGCTGCTGTGAACATCAGCACAATTTTTGCCCTTCGATACTTCTGCTGCCTGCAGACATGGAGTGATACTGAGTTGGGGAGCATAAGGGTGGATCATTTCCAGCAAAGGCCTCAGCAGCCCATCCCCCTCCACCCCGGGACCAATGCAAAGATTTGCCAGGTTTTCTTGTGTGTGGCATTCTTTTGGCATCAAAAGCTCTTGATTATAGCACTTTGGTTCTAATTAGCAGTCCTCGCCCTGGTCTCATGTTATTAAGCAGTCCAAGGGACCATTCCCGATCCCACAGCACAAGGAATAGAATTGCAGGGATTCTTTGGGCGTGTTGGGTTTCATTAGTCTTTGCCTTGGCTCATGTTTTGTAGAAAGCTCCAGATACATGGAAATGAAATCTCTGGACGTGAGGTCACCGGAGTACCCTGAAGTGGAACTGAAACAGCCCCTTTCTCTGCCTTCCTGGGAACCAGAGGATGTGTTCAGTGAACTGAGCATTCCTCTAGGTAGGTGAAATACACGGTCCTTCCAGAGAAGTCACCTCCTCCAGGAAGTGATTATTCTGCAGTAACGTCTAAGAGCTTGAGAGGGCTTGTTGTTGTTTTGTTGTTGTTGTTTTTAATGTCTGAGGCAGTAACCTAGATTTGCAAGGTGCTGCTTTACAGTTTCTTGCAATTTCAGTCTCCCGTAGTAGACCAGATGCCTCACGGGGCCAGGCCTTGCGCAGCACTGCCCTGGGAGCCAGAGCTAAGCGAGATGTGTCTTCCCATCAGGGACTGAGTTATTCCTGACCACACAGCCCTTCTTCAGGCAGGGAAGAAGCAGAGGCCTAGTGGCCGCCACCAAGTCAACAGAAGAAGAGGGAAATGACCCTCTTCTTCTACTGTCTTTCCTGCCCTCCGTGCCCCAGCTCCTCCTCAAACAACACAACGTTTTTTTCTCTTTGAGGGACCAGCTTCTCTGAGGCAATGATGCTGAATAGGCTGCATCTGGGGCAGACCCTATATAGTTGATAGAGGGAGCACTAAACAGACAGAGACCTGGGTCCCTGTCTTCCTGTTCCACTTATAGGTGACTGCATGTCCTCAGACACGTCATACCCAGAATGTTTTTTGTTTTTTCTAGTCACTACAAGTCCTTTATGAATAAGTCAACTGAGAGAGAGAGAGCTGTAAAAATACTTTTCTTGGAGGCCTTGGGAGTGGGAGCTACTGTCAGAACTCATCTGGCAGGGAAGGCACCCCAGCCAGAGGCAGCATGGGGATCAGGGCCCTGTCCAGAGGAGCAGCTGGCTGGGGGCGTTGAGAGGGAGATGGCTGGGGCCTCAGGCAGGGAATGTGCAAACGCGGAGGCCTCACAGGGAGGCATGGGTTGGGGGTACCTGAGCCTTAGTTTCTTCACCTGTAATATAGAATTGTTCCAGATCAGTGATTTTTCAATGGGGTGGGGCGGGGCAGCGAGAGAGCTTAATAATAGAATCACCTAGGACACATTTTCAAAAAGGAGAATTAACTAGAGTCTCAGGGAAGGGAGTGAAGGTACTTTAAGAAATTTCCCTGGGAACTTCTGACAGCATCGCTAACCCAGTGACTCCCACTCCAGCCCACATCATCTCTGGGTCTTTACATTGACTCTGAAAGGTTGGAAAACAATGAGACAAAGGAGTAGTAGCAGCTGCTCAGAGAGAGCTTGGAAGGCGTCTCTTGGGAAGATGTGACAAGGAAGCTCGGAGAAGCATGGGTTATGTGGTGACCAGTGACCCAATGTCTGCTCATTCAAAGATGGGCTAGTCAGTATGGAGGCTCATCCTTTCCATCAAGTTTCTCTTTCTTTTCATCTCCTTTAAAAAATTTCTTACTGTTTCTGTCCCCCAAGTGTACCATTTTCAGAGAGTCAGATTTGAAGAGCAAACTTCCTTTTTTTTAAGGGATAAATTTGCTGCATAGCATCCAGCATGCCCCAAGACAAAAACTAAAAAAGGAACTACTGACCTTAAAATGAACTAAGGTGACTGCATCATGGCCCTGGGTGTTTTAACCTTGGAAAACAGTTGCAAAGGTTGCCTTTCAGGAAAAAGGTGCCAGACGGTTTATTCGTGAATTCTTCATGCATTCATTCAGTCAGCAACACTTGCTGGATGGTGTGGCACTGTGCAAGGCACTCTGGGGGAATCGAGAAATCTAACACAAGTCTCTTGTCATCCAAGAGCTTAGAATCTGTATGACACACACAAGCAAAAATTAAGAATAAATTCTGCTACCTTATAATTTGTCTTTTTGTTATTGTTTTTCGTTGCAAAAAATGTGAGACTATTATAACAAATTTAAAAAATAAGAACCATATAAAGTAAATATTAAATGTATTGCTTCCCTCCCATCTCTCCCAAACTCCAGAGGTAGCACTTTCATACCCACGGATAGTTTTTCTCCCACAAAAGCAGGATCACGCTATACACATACTGTTCTGCAATTTGCTTTTTTAACTTAACGGTGGATCTTAGAGATCTCTTCATGTCAGTACATAGAGAATGCATTCTTCTTAACCACTGCAAATATTCCATCTTAAAAGATGTACCATAAATTACTGATCCGTTCCTCTACTGGTGAACTTTAAGGATATTTTCAAATTTTTTTCCATTACCAAAATGCTATAATAGTTAAGCTTTTATTTTTATCATCTGCCATGGCACTATTATCTCTTTTAACTTTCTCAAAACACCAATGAGGTAGGTAATAATTTTATCCCTATTTTCCAGATAAGAAATCTGAGGTTCAGGATTATAAAGCTAATGATCAGCAAAGGCCGGAGTCAGGATTCAAACCCCAGGAGTGTGACTCATAGAGCCAGGCTGCCTCTATGCTCTGCTGCCTTCCAAACACGCTATTACCTTTGTGCGTGTGCCAGTGTTTCTGTGGTACAATGTCCTAGCGGGGGTGGTGTCATATATATTTGCATTTCAGATTTTCATAATTGCTACTTAATTGCACTCCAAAAAGATTATACCAGTTTTCACCGCTACTTGAGGGAAAGTTCTCATTCTTCATGTCCTTGCCAACATTGGATGTTATCAGTTTTTAATCTTTACCAATCTGTTGGAAGGAAAATGGTATCTCATTCTGTTTTTTTAAAAACAGCTCTATTGAGGTAAAATTGATGTTAATGAGGTGCACGTATTTAAAATGTACAATCTTATCAATTTTGACATATGTATATGCTTGTGAGACCATCACCACAATCAAGATAGTGAACATATTCATCACCTCCCAAATTTCCTGATACTCCTTTGTAATCTCTCTCTCCCCACACCTCAATCTGCTGGTAGCCACTGCTCTCCTTTCTGTCACTAAATATCAGTTTGCATTCTAGAATTGTATATAAAGGGAATCATACAGTATGTACTGTTTTTGCCTGGCTTATTTCACTCAGCATGATTATTATGAGATTCATCCAAATTGTTGGGTGCATTGATAGTTGGTTTCTTGTTATTGTTGAGGAGTATTGCATTGTGCGTATGGATGGACCACCTTTTGTTTATTCATTCCTCTGTTGATGGGCATTTGGGTTATTTCTGGTTTTGGGCTAATACACATTGTACTTTTATACTTGATTATAGTCCTTGATTAGCTTTGAGACCCATTATCTCCTTGATTTTGGGGTGGGGGGCTTGGTTCTATTTTTCACATTTGACAGGCGAGGAAACTGAAGCCCAGAGACTTACCCAAGGTCACAGAGCTAGGTCAGGTCAGAACTCAGGATTTCTAACCCGAGACTGCTCTGTTCAGGCGGCACAGTGTAGGAAAGGCAGGTTTTGTGCAGTGGTTAAGAGCACAGACTGTGGAATTTGACTCCCTGGGTTCAACTCCCAGCTGTCTGGGGGACACAGAGCAGCCTATTGAACCTCTCTGCTTGGCTTTCTTCACCTGTAAATCAGGGAGAGTAATAGAAGCCAAACATGTAGGGTTATTTTGAGGATCAAATGAACAAATGCTTGTAAGGTCTTAGTGTCTTCCAGCAGGAGGTATTTAATAAGGGTTGTCTGTTGTTATTATTCATTCATGAAATAGTTACTGAGACCTACTATGTTGCCTCTCACTGGGGCTGCATAACCCTTCACCCTCCAGGAGCAGTCACTCCTGCAGAGACTTCTAGGGAGGTGGGGAACAACTTGCAGGTTTTGTCCCTCTGGAGAGCGGGGCGGAGAATGAGGAGTGCCAAGGACAGGGCACGCCATGGGGAGGAGAGAGAAGTGAAGTCTGGTTGCTCAGGGCCGAGTGGGCATGGTGGGGGCGGGCACTGACCGTGTGTTTTAGGCCAGCTTTGGGTGACCCCAGCCAGCATGAGCCTGCCAAGGCCTGTTCTTACCAGAACAAAAGGGCATTGCCTGCAAAACACACGCTCCCCCTCCACCCATCCCGGGCTTTGCTGGGATGACGGAGTTATAATTACCCTCGCCAGGAACTATTATTAGAAGGCAAATGCAGCTTTAATTATCATACTTAATAGAGGCTGAAAAATGGGAGGACCAAGAGGTTCCAGAACTCCTCCGGAGGGCTGTGGCCGTTTTTCTTGCTGCTGCCGCTTCACTAGGCCCTCACATTCCAGAAACGTCCTGAGGCGGTGTTGGCATTGTAGTGCCTGTGGCAACTCCCAGTTACTCAGGAGAGAGGAACCAGGAGTTTGGGGATCTTCCCCGCCCAGGCTTCTCCTTCCCCAGCACTGTCTTGATCACCTGGTACTGCCTGACCAGCTGCCCGGGTCGGGCGGGGGCGGGGGAGAGAGTTGCTGCCAAACTGTGGGGTCTGGGTTCTCCAGATGGCTTTGGGGAAAGGTTGGAGGGCAAGAAGGCCAACCCATAGGCAGTTGGCCTCTGTGAAGAAATGTTTAACGTGTGGCTGGAAACTAATATTTTTTGAGCATCAGGCAAAATGATAGGTGCTTCCCCATAACACCATTTATGGTATTATTATTCCTATTTCACAGATGAGGAAACTCATCTCAGAGAAGTTAAATAATGTACTCGAGGTCATACAATGTAAGTAAAAGAGCTAGGTTTGACTCTAAATTCCATTTTCTCTCCACTATTCTATGAGCGTCTAAGCTTTTTCTCTTTTTTTTTTTTTTCTGGCAATGGAAGCCTTTGTTCAAGTGAAATCTCACCCAGAACCCCCAAGATGGTAGCCGTGCCCCTTGGGTTGAAAGGGGCCACAGCTGCCAGCTCAGGCACTGCTTCACACTCTGCGGTGGCTTCTGAGGCAGCTGTATCCCTTCTGGGGGTCCTAGGATAGGGGCTGGAAGGCCTCTTGGGAAACCTGGAGGATCCTGGCGACCTCAGCTGGGGTCTAAAGTGACAACCCCAGGGCTTCTTTCCTGGTACCACCCAAGTGGCAGATCCTACAGGGTCTGTGGCGGGACAGAGGGGGTAGCTCTGATCACAGGCCTGCATCTGCTCCATGTGGCCTCCGGGTGGTGCTTCTCCTTCTCTAGTTGCTGTGTCTTGTCTCATGTGGGCCTCTGCTCCCCGCAGAGAAGCAGCAAGGGGGAGAACTATTTTGTAGGAAGAGAGGACGTAGGCTGGCCTTGCTTAAAACTCCTTTGCCAGCCACAGCCAGGGGCCAGGGCCTGTTTGTGAAGTGGAGGAGTGAACTGGCCACCCACAGGCAAAGCCAGGGCCACTTTTCCATTCTTTGGGGTGAGGGGAGGAGGAGGGTGAGGGGGTGGGGAAGGTCACTCAGCTTCCCTCTAGGCAGCTGGGCCTGAGTGAGGCTCCCTCACTTCTGGGGTCTTCTGTGGACTGCTGAGGGCACAGCAATGTGCTACGTGGCAGTTTGAGAAAACCAGCTGAGGAGGCCGCCCAGGCCCCAAACCGCAGTGGAGCAATCAGTCAAGGCAGGCTGTGGGCAGGGCTCCAGGCTCCCTCTTCCCTCAGGCCTGCCCCTCCGCACTGATGAGTGGCTGTCTTGAAGTGAAACAAAAAATTGTAATTATAAGTCTAGGCTGCTTCTCTATGACAGGGTCTCCTGTGCACTTAGCTCTGTCTCACGGGAAGTGGAAAGAGAATGAGAAAGAAGCCCCGGACTTGTGGTCACACACAGGTTTGGAGGCCAGCTCAGGCCTGTCCTTGGTGGCGCCCTGGCCTGTCTCTCTCTCTCTGCAAGCTGCTGTTCCCCTCTGTGCCTGCTCCTAGCCCCTCTCTCCTTTCCACCCAGTGTGGCCAACAGTCTGACCACCCCCACCCCCAGCAGAGCAGTGGGAGCTAACCAGATGGGCAGCAGCAAAGCCCAGCTGAAGTGTGTCATCGTGCACGCAGGGAGCAGCCCCTGTCTGAAAGTGGGATCTGGGTGAGCCGAGTGGTCAGCCCCTCTTCTGTAGTTACATAGGGGGTCCTGCTTTGCACAGCCCTCACACCCTGCTCTTTTGCTGGTGCTTCACAATCAGGTGCCTCAGGAAACTAAGGCCCAGGAGGGGTTCACCTGACTCTCCCCAGGTTACATAGGTTCTTAGTGTCTGGCCTGTGCCCTCTCAGACCTGGGCTCTTTCCACTCTGCTGACCATGTCTTTAAGAGGAGAACCATGACCCCCAAAACTCTTGGTGGAGGCTGGAGCAGCTGCCATCCCTTCAAAGATAGATCCTCTGGGCTATGACACTGTCACTTCTCTGGCTATTGGGCCACTCTTTCCTTTCCTCAGAATCAAAAGGCTTCCCAGAATCCTGGGATTTATATTTAATAAGTCACAAATAGAATGCTATTAATTGATGGTTCAGATGTAAAGCCTGGAGAAAATGGGGAAATGTTTCAGATATACTATTACATGAGAAAAGGGAGGAGACAGAATTGCACTTAGGGTATGGTTAAAACTGCTCCCCCCCAACACACACACACACAAAGCCTCTACATATAGATAGTGTGGAAGATAATATTTTGATTGGAATGACTCTTGGTGTTTTTTTCTCACTTTTGTTTATCTTTAAAATTTTCTTTAATGAACATAATTCTAAAATAAACAACAAAAAATGAGAGCATTCTTTAGAGTCCTAGCCACAACAGCTGCAGAGAGAAGTACAGTGTGGAGAAATGAAATCCAACAGGTGAAATGTAAGCAACCTCCTTCTTCCTCTTTTCTCTGGAAAGCCTGGAAGCAGGCTGATAATAGGAGAGCCTGGACCTAGTTCCCAAGGGCAGTTGCAGAGCATGTAATTGCCAAGCACTCCATCCCACTTGGGGGAGTACATCCCTTACCTTCACAACCACCTGTGAATGAGGTAGGTGCTATTCTCTTCGGGCCTGTTTTGCAAATGAGGAGACAGGCTTGGAGAAGCTAGGTCACCAGCCAAAGTCAACAGCAAGTCGGATGGAGCTCATTGCTTTCCACCTGATGGCTGGCAGGACCACAGGGGCCACCCTCCACCTTCCTAATCGCCTGCCTGTCCTCCCCCATCCTTCTGCAGGGGTAGAGTTCGTGGTGCCCAGGACTGGGTTTTACTGCAAGCTGTGTGGACTATTCTACACAAGCGAGGAGGTGGCGAAGATGAGCCACTGTCGCAGTGCTGTCCACTACAGGAACTTACAGGTAACCATCGGCCTTCCTTGCCTAGCACCCAGGGGGCTCCCCAGTCTCTGTTTCTGTGAGTTTCTATCTCCTTCCACCACATGGAGAACTTCTACTCTCCCCTCAGACCTGACTCCACTGGGCTGCTCCACATGGTGGCTGCCTCCTGTGTGCTCTCAGAGCACATGTCTCCACTTTAGCACTTAGAACCTTCTATTTGGGTTGGTTTTATTGTATCTGCCTCTCCCTCTAGACTGAGTAACTTGGGTTACTGTTCACCTGGCCCATGGTTGGGGCTGACCCCTTCTCACAAGACCTGGCGGTTCCAGATGCAGATATTTCTGTTTCTGTTACCCTGTGCAGGTATCCCTGTTTGCTAGAATAAAAACCACTATTATGTTCTATTTAAATGTTCATCCATACCGCAACATAGGCATATGTGCACCAGGCACTGTTCTAGGCACTGGGGGTACAACAACAAAAAACCAAAAAAGCAGACAAAGATCCCCGCCTTCATGGAGCTCCTACATTCTAGTGTAGGAGACAAGCAATAAACAAATAAGTTTTTAGTATATTAAAAGGTGACATAAAATATACTCTAACTACCATATTTCATCCAATCTAAGGAGCCATCAGTTGTAAGACACACGGCTATTTTTTGATACCAACAAGAAAAATAAATTGCAAATTAAATGGTGAGACTCCATCAACTGTAAAATGCATCTCAATTTCAGAGATGTTAATGTGTGAAAAAAACACATATCTTAAAATCAATGAACTATAGTAATATTTCTATAATATACACCTAATTAATATGTATATAGCATATTAGAATGTGGTTTTCATAATTAACTTCTGGTATAGGCTGGGGATTAGTAACTTAATAGAAAGCATGGTATACCAGACACCAGGGGTGAGTATTTCAAGGTACCTCCTGTTTTCACTACCAGGAATCAGACTAGTTTTTTGACGGACAAGGCCTCAACTCGGGAAGACCCTCATGGTGGCAGCGTGCCCTTATTCTGGAGCAGGCATTACTTTCAGTTAAATTGTTAAAGAGTGGCTCATCTGGTGGTTCTTAACCAGGGTGTGAACCAGAATCACCAGGACAACGTTTCAAAAGTATATATACTAGGTCAGATATTCAGTAGAATTTGGGGGGGAGACCTGGGAATACATAATTTGAGAAAGCTCTCCAAATAATGTGAATATGTACCCCGAGTTAAGAAAACTCAGATATGGGCCAACTCCCTTGTTTTATAATTAAGGAAACTGAGGCCCAGAGAAGCTATGTGATATGTCCAAGCCCATGCTGATAGTGAATTACCAAGCCTGGGATCAGATCGCCTGATTCTTAATCACTTTCCTCTTTTTACTCTACTAAGCTGGTCTTGCAAACTGAGTGAGACCCATAATTTCATGGCCTGGGTCACCGTCTAGAAGGGACTGTCGTTGGCTATGTCCAAACTCAGGTCATTTAAGCTTCTTGATTTCCCTTTGGAGAGCAGCTGTCACAACTGAGGAAGCCATGGGGCCTGGGGCCCACGTCCCAGCCACTCCTGGGGGAGGGCAGTGAAGGCCTAACTTGGCCAGACCCAGGGTTCAGACTGGGCTCCAGGGAGCCAGCTGAGGGCAGCCATCTAGCCTGAAGACATCATCTTCCCCCTCCCCAAGGACATGAAACCTATGGAAGGCAGGGCTGGATGGGACCTTGGAGATCATCCAGTCTTGATTTTCCCAAACTTTGGTTTTCATACCATCTGGCATCTTTTAAAAATGCAACTTCCTGGACCTACCCTATACCTGCTTATTTGTTTTCTCTAGGGCTGAGCCTGAGAATCTGCATTTAAAAAAATCTTTCTAGCAGATTCTGATATCTCAATCCAAGAATCTTTGATCTCATCTGGCATTCTCAGCTGAGTTGTGCAGCCCCCAAGGAAACCACACAGCTTAAGGTCACCCAAGAAGTTAGGAAGAGTACAGACTTGCCAGGGCCTCTAATTCTAAATCCTGTGTTTTTTCCAGGGCAGTGGACTGCACTATGTTCTGGGCCCCTGCAACAGACTTACCTCCCCATAGCAGGCCAGAGCTGTTCGTGTGGTCCCCAGACATGTCAGTTCTAGACATTGGCTAAGCCCCTTACACTCGCCAACCACAGTTCAGGTTTCCCTGAAGCACCAGTCAGGGAGCTGGGAGCCTCCACCACAGGCTTCCCCAGATAGGGTTTCTGTAGTGGCTTTGACAAAATATCTCTTGTCCACATGGCCTCGCCCACCCCACCCCATCACACCCCAAGTTACCTGTGTGGAAAGGGAAGAATTCAGACCCGAGCAGTGGGTGCTGGCTGACACCTAAGTCAGGCAACTTGTAAACTTAGCACCACCAGGAGGCCTTGAGGTGGGGGCAGGGGATTGCTCTTCGGGGAGCAGGTGGAAGGAGCCTCCATCCTTTCTGTGCAACCCCTGCTGTGCCCCACTGCTGGTCATGGCCCTGAGAGAACCCACCCAGAGTAATCTGGAACAACAGGTGGAGTCAGCACTAGATAGGAAAACTAGATGCCTGCGTGGCTCCAGGTCCAGAGAAGAATGTGCCCACATGCAGCACACTCACCCACTTGCCTGTCTGAGTACTCAATTCCCTTCTCTGAGCTGAGGCAGTGGAGAAACCTGGCCTTCCATTAGCAGCCTGGGCCTCAGGGACCCACAGTCTGCCCCTCTCCCAGTCAGGTTCACCAACCTCTCAGGGCCAACCACAGTCTCTTCTAGACCAGGTAGACCCAGTCATCTCATGCACATCATCTTGTCTGACCCTCAAAATCTCCTGGAGAGGAGGAGGACACCATTTCTCCCATTTAACAGATTAGGTCTGAGGCTGGGAAAAGAAGAGTGACTTTCCCAAAATCATTCATGATAACGGGCAACATTGCAGAGTGTTTATTCCATGCCGGGTGCTGTGCCAAGTGCTTTATGCTCCCTCTCTTGGACTTCACAACAACCTTATGTGGTAGTTACCGTTATTACCTGCACTTTACAGATGTCAGAGATATTGGGTATTCTCTGCTGAGAGCTAGGTCATCTGATGGCAAAGCCTACACTTCTGGCCACTGCGCTGGACCTAACCTGCTGACTCCTAATCCAGTGCTCTTTGCACTACTCCTTGCTGCCCCAGCAATCAGATGGCCTGCAGCTGGGGGCCCCAGGCATTTTCTAGTCTGTCTCACTACACTGAATCCAGAATCCCAGGAGCGGCCCAACAGGCTCGCTGAGTTGGGCTGGGGGCCAGTCATAGCAGTGAGCGTTCCAGGGCGGGGTGAGGTGGCCCCCAGCTATGGAACAGAAATCCATAGAAGGACCTCCAAGACACTCAACCTGCCAGCCCGCCTGACAGGAAGCAGGTTGTTAGAGTCTCAAATGTCAGGCTGCGGCTCTGTCTTTCACAATCGCTATAGGACAGCGCTTCTCTCCTCCTGCCCTTTCAGTTTCCCCTTCCTCCATCTGCCATTTACACATGGACGTGCTGCCTGGATACTGCAGCTCTTTCTGGAAAACAGAGAGTGGCTATGAGGATTAAATGAGTTTATATAAGAAAAGCAGTTAGAAGAGTGCTTGTACAGGATAAGGGCTACAGAACTGTTTGCTGCTGTTAGGATCTGTACTTTACATGTTTTCTACAAGAGACACACATTACCTGTAAACTAACATAAAGGGGGAGGAAGTCATTGCTTAGTATGGGTTCTGTAGCCGCAGAAGGATCTGGGGAGGGAGGAGGCGGCGGGTCCCACTGGCTGGGCAAGATGATAAGAGAGGGGGCCAAGGCACTCACCCCCTTCTTCTCCCTCCAGGTCACCACTAACCCTCTCTCTCCCTGCTTTGCCCCTCTCTTCCCACCACAGAAGTACTTGTCCCAGCTGGCCGAGGAGGGCCTGAAGGAGACCGAGGGGGCAGGCAGCCCGAGGCCCGAGGACAGCGGAATCGTGCCCAACTTTGAAAGGAAAAAGCTCTGACACACCTGCTGCTGCTGGAAGCCGGGAGAGGAGGGCCTGCGAGGTGGGGCCTTCCTGACCTCGGTGCAGGAACTGAAGCCCAAGAGGAAGGAAAACCAGGCAGGCCGCATGGCCTGGGTTTGTTCTCAGAGACTCATGAAAACGCCGTGAAGTGTCTCCTAGAGCTGTCACCCTGCTGTGTCCAGCCCCCTGAGGGTCGCCTCTCTCTGCCTGTTGTCTCTTTTGTTTCCTTCAAACCTTCAATTTGCTTCTCTCTCTTCCTCCCCCTCCCTCCCTCTCTCCTCTTTCTGTGCCAAGGGTCATTTCCATTTCATAAAATCCAACTTCTCAGGGATTTTCACAGTGTTCAAATTCTTGATGGGCTAGAACAGGTCAGGCCAGGCTGAGTCATCCAAGGGAAAGATTTCACGGAAACTCCTGGGTCAGGAACCACTTCAGTGAACCTGGAGCAGTTTCTCTGCCTGGGAGGAGGGTGTTGGGGGAGGTTGGTGCTGAGTCGGGCCCTGCAGTCCTGGAGAGGGGGCACCCTAGACAGTCAGTTGGCAGAAGCTGGGAGTTCCTCCAGCTGGACTACCTTTTTGAAAAGCCCTTGGTTTTAATAACTCTTGCACCCTCTCAATTATTCTAGAAGTTCACCAGATTCATGCCTTAAAATAAAATTCAATGAATTTTACAGAGGAGGAAAAGAACCCTTCATTTTGGAAGCTCTGATAAATTCCCCCCAAACTATTTTTGTCTTCTTGATTTCAGGAGATGCCAGGGTTTGTTCTATTCTGGACAGTGAATTTGGTGTAGATTCACTTTAAATAAAAATGAAAAGAGAAGCACTTTCTCTCTCCAGCTAAAACAGCCGCTGGTAAGGGCTTAGGTTGAATGTTGGCCTCCCAGGATGCGTGGCATTGGCCCGAGAGACACCAAAACAAGGAAATGGCATCCCCACTGATGCCTGCACTCTGGGCTCCAGCAGCCTCACAGTGGGATGGTTTTTCAATGGCCTCTCAATGGGGAGAAACTAAGGAAAGAGAAGGCTGCAGGACTGAAGAGTGGCATTTGAGGATTGCCCTGGGTTTGTGGTGGCCCCTTTCCAATTTGGCAGAAGGTCAAGGGCGTCTCAGAGCTGACTCCATGCGCAGACCTTGCTGTTATATGTTATGAAGAACAGAACCCTTATTCTCATCGGGCTGTCTGATCCCGGAGGTCAGTGCCTTCAGGCCCCAGCCGGGCTCCGGGTTCCGCGTCTGATGTGCTATTGGAAGGGTTTGGGACAGGGTGCTGGGAGGATGAGGCTCGGCCGCAGCCCTACAGAAGACCTCAAGAACATCAGAGGGGAGCCTGGTGCTGTTTCCACAAGCCAACATACTCACCTGGAGGCGGCCTGCCTGGCTCAGCCCCTGGAAGGTGGTTCCTGTTGTTTCTGTTCCTGATGGCAAGCAGGTAGACGAGGAAGGGATTGTTCGTTTTATTTATTTATTTTTGCATTTTTTTTATGGTAGGTAAGAGTAGACTGCACATTCTGTCCTCTGCTCTAATGGCAGAAGGGTAGAGAGATCATCTGAGTTTGACACTGACATTTTATCAGTGAGGAAACTGAGGCACAGAAAGGAAACATGTAGAACATAAAATGATCACGTGTAAACCTTGAGGTACATGATCCCCAGCGAGGAGAGAGCTTTTGGGAAGCTGTGAGGGAGAAGAGAGAAGGCAATGCCAGAGGCAAACAGACTGGCTTGGACAGGTGTGGTGAGGAGAGGCTGGAGGAAGCAGGAAACCTGAACTTGGCATCCGGCCACCTGGGGGCCTCGGAAAGGTTGGTGTCTCCAAGAGGCAGCTCTCTGACCTCCTCGCCGGACCTTGCTGGGAAAAGCCTGCCGCCTCCATCAGAGGCTGGAACCGTGCATTGTCAGAGAGGCTGGTAGTCTTTTCTCCAGCAAAGTGAAAGCTGACCCGCCAGCTCATCCCCCGGCAGCGTTTCCATGGAAATCCCAATGGCTGTTCAAACAACCGCATTCCCAGTAGTGTAATGGCTCCCTTGCTGACAGACTGATCTTCTCCATCTTGGAAAGCTGGAGAGAGCCCCTGGGAGGGAGAGAGGAGAGGCTCTCTCAGCATTCAATCAGAACCTTGAGTTTAAAAATCATCTAAGCTTCTAATTTGTGTGTGTATATATATATTTATTTTTATTTATTTTTATACAATTCCATTGGCATGGTCCTTCACCCACTCCGTAATTTGCACTTTTTATTCCTACGTGTGTCATACACAATGCAGTATGAAAGGCAACCAGGAAAATATTGATTTATTTTTTAAAGCTTTTCCTCAGTGTTTGTCCACCATTTCAAAGTGTCTCCCAGAAAAGGTTGTTCAAGAGCAGCTGCCGCCTTGAGCTACAGATCCATGTGTTACCTGAGTTACATATAACTGAAGGCCTATGTAATTTTCTTTCATCGTAAACCCCTGAAATAAAGTAGATCCAGACCATATGCCCAAAGAATTTGGTAAGTTTGATGTTGTGTGAGCAGCAGCCGCTAGTATCAGGGTTTCCCTTTCTTGGACACTCCGAGGCTGTGATCTGTTAGATGATACTTGAACTGGACCAGAGTTTGTTTTTTGAGCTTATGAGAAAAAAAAACAACACTAGTTAATTTGTTTGAACTTGTAAAGTATTGGATTTTGTTGAGTGTCCTATAAATCGTCACCACTTTTCCTGATCTGTATAACTGACCGCAAGTGTTTGTTTCTACAAAAGGAAAAAAAAATGATTTTTAATAAAGATAATTTGAAAGCTTGTGAGTAAGGAGCCATCTGTCATGCAGAGATCCCTCGACATTTGGCTGCGGGAAGCTCGCCAGCACTGAGGTTGGGATTTGGTCCCTCTCTGAATCTAGAATGTTTCTGAAGGGTTGAAAGGAGAGGGCACAACAGCTTCCATTTGGGGCTCTGTGAGAATCTGAGATTCTCAGGGGTGAACCTCCAGAAGGGCAGAGTCTAGGAAAGTGGGAAGCTGCTGTCCCTTTTGGAGAATCAGATAGAAAAATCTCTTAGCCTCTTAGAAACCCTGAGCCCTGCTACCCAGTGCTCCCCGGTCTGCTAGTGGCTGAACCCCATTGTGCTGCACCAGGGTGAGGCCATTTCTGGGCGTTCCACCCCCTGTGAGGTGGTGGGTACCTAGCTTGGCACTTGTTAGCCCCGTGACTTCCTAAGTCCCACTTCCTTGGGCGTAACGGGGGATAATGTCGTTAATCACCTCCCAGGTTGTTTCAAGCTGGAGATAATTGCTGGCAAAAGCACTTGCTATGCTGCATGGCAGTGAATCTTTTTTTTTTTTTTAATATAGGCAGTACACTCTTTTTTTTTTTTAAAGGAAGATTGGCCCTGAGCTAACATCTGTTGCCAGTCTTCCTCTTTTTTTTTTTCTTTTTTCTCCCCAAAGCCCCCAGTACATAGTTGTATATCCTAGTTGTAGGTTTTTCTAGTTCTTCTATGTGGGACGCTGCCTCAGCATGGCTTGATGAGCAGTGAGTAGGTCTGCACACAGTATCCGAACTGGTGAACCCTAGGCCACAGAAGCGGAACGCTTGAACTTAACTGTTGCACCATGGGGCCAGCCCCCGAGAATCTTGTTTGCTTCTGGAATCTGTGCTCTGGACAACAACTCTCCAAATTTCAGTGGTTCTTAAGTTCTTTCAACCATTTCTTCTAGCAAAACAATGCAGTCAGTCTCCCGGGCCCAGTTGGCCAGTCCTTTGAATGGCCTGGAACTTTCTCTGGGCCCTTCCCTTCTGTTGGCAGTGCTCCTGAGTCAACGGGGAGGGGCTGGGCAGTCTGGCCCCAGAGGGCATAGTGAGTGGGGCAGCGTATAATTGTGGGAGCAGATTGTAGGTTGGAGGAAAGTTCCTGTGGAGCCTGTTGCTGCTCCACACCCCCACCCCCCCAGCCTATTGTGGCCATGTGCCAGTGGTTCCCAACCGGGAGGGGTGGAGAAACATCCTTCCTTGCAGCTGCTGGCTGCACCCCAGCTGGCTAAAGTAGTGAATGGGCCTAGAGCTCATCCTGCTGCCCTAAGTTCAGGATCCAGGCTACCTGGGGGTGCTCTTGTTGCTTAGTCCCAGTGTGTTGCTCCACATGGCACAACTCTAGGGGGCGCCATGCACATTGTATTCTGTAAAATGGCACCTCTGGACCTGTGCCATGGAGATATCCTGCCTGGGAGCCCCCTGAGTTGCAGTTCCCCCCATCCCTGGGTGTTCGCATTTGTTCTCTGATGTTCCTAAGGGCCTTGAAACCTAGTTCTGAGCCAGTCTACCCTGCTGGAGCTCTGACATTCAGACCCACTCTCTGTGCTCGCTCTTCTCTCCAGATATCAGCACCAGACCACCCCTGGCTTGACTCTGCCATGGCCTAGACGCTGGTGTTGCTCCTTACAGTCCCCACTTGGCTAGGCCACTTGGATACTGACCTTGGCCCCCATCTGGCCTGAGACCTCTGAGCTCCTCTGAACATCAATAGCAACTATTGCTGTCCACCTAGGCAGTGATGGGACATCTGGGCTTGCCCTCAACAGCTCCCCATTCTCCTTTCCCACCATGCCAGCCCTACAAAGAAGTCTGTCCCAAGTGGATTTCCAAGCATGTTAGAGCAGGATAGTCCCAGAGACTCTGAAGTCCTGGCCCTTCCTTTTGCAGTTGAGAAAACTGAGGCCCAGAGAGGGGAAGTGACTTGCCTAAGGCAACACAGCTTATTAGTACAAGGTCGAGACTAGAATCCAGGTCTCCTGGGTGGTCCTACTGGGGACACACAGGAAGTTTAGGTTCTTTTAGTTAGATTATTTCATGAATTTTCCAGGTCTAGCTGTAGCTGGACTTTGGCACTCAGCAAAGACTCAAGACAATCACTGATTTTTGTGCTTTGTGTGTATCAGAATCACCGGGGGAGCTTGTTAGAAATACAGACTCCCAGCCCCCTCCATGAAGATTCTGTCTCACTAGGCCATGGGGAGGGCGCAGGCATTTATTTACATTTTAGCAAGGCTCGCTGGTGATTCAATGCAGGTGGAGTCCACTGCTCACACTTTGAAAAACACTGCCCTAGACGTCAACCAGGGATTTCCCCAGCAGCTCCTGGAAGAGAAGGGGCATTTATTTTACGGGGGGAAGGGCAGGAGAGATGTGAATGGAGACCATTCAAGGTAGGAGAGACTCCAGGGTGAAAAAGGCTTGAAGATGGGAGACAGACAGGAGGAGACTAGTCTGGCTGATGGCAGATGGAGATGGTGGGAATTGGTGGTGGTAGGGGGTGGTCATCAGACTAGGTTTGGGGCACGTGTCAGGATTTTCTTATTTGGAATTCATACTTACTGTGCTGAGGCAAAAGTCACTTTTCCAATGGTGTGTTTATCCTTGTTAATGCTGAAAGCATCGTGATTATTAAGAAGACTCCTGGAGATCTGGTGATAGCCCTGC